CAGGACGCAGTGGGCCCACACCGCAAAAAAAGACGGCGGCGCGGCGTTGGAATTACCGCAATCCCTCACTGCTTTGCGCCGCGCACGTGCGCAGACTCGCACCAACTGTTATAAATGTCGCAGGACACAGCCGGGCGTTCCCTCGCCTTGACAAAGCCAAGCTGGCGATATCAGTAAAGGGGGACATGATCTGAAAGGCAACTTAAGTATTCGCAAGGTAAATTTTAGCAAACAATCCAGAGGATGGGAAGATATACAACGAAGAAAATAAACCATATGGTTAAGTAAATTACGATAAAAGAAACATCATTTCAACGTTCATAGAGATAGGCGAGCGTGAAAAGTTTGAAGCCCCACAGGTCCCGTGGCCTTATGCAAGAAAACATTTTTATTTCTTAACTACGTTTAATCCCTGATTTTCCAGTTTCTTAGCCATTTCCAAATCGTCATTCCAAGCCAATTTTTAAATCGCTGTGTAACGTAGCGGGTTACCGTTATCAGTTGTCTTCTCCTAGACAACTATTATGGCAGAATACCCTAAATAAAGAAGCACAATGCTTTGCGAGGTTGTGGAGACAAGTTCGAAAGATTCCGAGATCCATGGGAATGTGGCTTTGAGAACAACGGAATGTCGATGATAACTAGACGTCGGATTTTAGCACTATTTAGTTACTTTAGGAGGTTGAGGAAAATAATTGCAGATGTTTTCGAATCATGAAAAGTATATCTACTGAAATCATCTAATAGTGCCAAAAATAACCCAAAAGAACTGTTGATGCCTATTTTAATTTTTTTTCGCTTAAACCTGCCTTAAACGAGTAATTTTGAAAAATTGCCATTCTTTAATTACTCATTTTATAAAAATTTGTTATACTGAAACGCAAATACTTTCCCGAATTTCCCGAAACGGAAATGCTCCCTGGTCAAATAGACAATCGAATGCGCCCCGTAATCTGTCACCCAACACACCGAACGCAAGGAGCTCGGCAAGTCAATATAAAGAGATTGTTTCACGCTCGTCTCAGCATGCTCTTTCACCCATTCCCGGTGCAGCTGTGCTGTTAAAAGGTTGAGAATGAAAAGTTAAAGGATTAATTAAATAAAAGGAAATAAACTAATACGCTTTTAGCCACTCATAAATGAAAAAAATACTAATTTTTCCCTGAATAATAAAAAGTTCCTCATTTATTAATTTGGTGATCAATTTTTAGATGTCAGAAACATAACTTTTCATGTCTAATGTTTGTTATATGCCTGACTTAATAATTTTGTTTATTTTAAGTGCCTAAAACGTCACTTTTCATGCCTAATAGCGGCTAATTTTATAATTTTGTTATCTATTTTAGGTGCCTAAGTCATTTTATATTTTGTGCCTACAATTCCGATATGATAACGTAACTATGACGCTGTGACAATGGAAACGTTACATCTCCGCGCATCCGCCCGTGGCGTGCGGGTGGGAGCCAGCATCACCGCAACACACGTGATGGCCCTGCAGCCGCACCACGCAGCAGCGGCCGCTGCCGTCACCGCCGTCACCGCGCTAGCCGCCTCCCGCCAGGTGGAGCAGAGATCAAAGGCGGCGGCGGTGGCGGCGCTCCTGCAGCGAGAAGCCCGACGCGGAGTTTGAGTTTCGTGGGTTGCATTGCGATGCAGTAAGAACGGACGCGCTTTGAGCAGAAGCCATTTGGATGCGCAGAATGCAACCACACGGACGGGACCCTCAGCGGCGAAGGTTGAATCATGATGATTCTCATTAAGACACATTCTTGAGCACATATTCGTGAGTACATGACAATAACGCATGCATGCAATACCGGACTCCACAGAATTTTGCAGTTGTGAACATTTGAAATGCACAACAAAATAAAACGAATTCACGTTAAGTTAAGAACAATGCAATCAGTCCCACGAAATGACATACCCCCTTGTCGAAAACTGTGAGTGAGGGCCGGACCGACATATGAAGATTACTATATTACTTAAGGTAGGATATTAAAAATGTGACTCTAGTTAGCTCTTATCAGGAAATGAACATTATTTTAGAAGAATCCTCGAGTCAGTACAATTATCTACTCAGTTTAAGAATCGCAATATCGTCGTATGAGTAACACAAGTCACCGGACGACAAAATCCTTCGAAACCCGACTAAGGTTACTCGTATTACTGTCCTTTACGGAACACATTCACAAAACCGCGAACAACTGTCCCGAGAAAGAATGTCGCAGGTAGAGTTGTCACACAAAGGAAGCCACGCAGCAGAACACACAGGCAGGCGGCAACCAAGGAAGAATCAACACCGAAGTGCGCGAGTGGCAGTGAGAAGAACAAGGTTTGGGCTTGAAGCGTGGGCGCGAGCGGAGGTCGTGACCGCGCTGCCCATCGCAGGATTAGCGCCACTCCTTGACGGCAGCGAGTGAAGAGGAAGCGGGCAGGCAATCCACAAAAAAGAAAAAAGAAAAAAACGTGGAACCGGAAGAGACGCGGTGGGTGCGAGGCGTCAGCAAGGGTTTAGGAGCAGCACGAACCCTTTATTTACACACACAATCTATACATATTCACATACACTACTCCCCTCCCCTGTAGTCCCTTGGAGGCGTGAAAGTTATTGTTTCATTTTGGGACGTTCAACCTTATGTTACTTCTTTGTACCATTAGTAAAAAGATGGAGCGATTATTAATACTAAATTAATACTAACAAGTAATAGCACAAATGTGGCGGTAAGCTCTTTCACCTACTTAATGTACAGAAAACGGTGTTTGTATAAAACTTCGTGTTTGTTCATTTTTGCTTTCTAAAAAAATGATTCAGGGTGTTTTCACATTCATACTTCAGCGGACAGTCTGGCGAGTGGAGCGCGACAGGGACGACGGAGACATCTAGAGCGACAGCCCCTTGGGATGACATGGGCACCCGGGGAGACTAAGGCATCAGGGATGAAGGAGGTGAGATGGGCGACGGAGACGACTTGGGCAACGGGGGCGACGGGAGCGTCGAGGGGCGACGGGAGCGGCGAGGGGCGACGAGGATGACTGGAGCAACGGGGTGACGGGGGGGATGGGAGTGACGGGGGCAGCTGGAGCAGCCTTTGGGCAGAGCGGGGGCGTGGCCGGGCCTGGAGATGCTGCACACGAGGAACGCTCCGCGCGAAGCATCCATGCGCGTGCATGTCTCTTCTCCTCATTTTATCTTATTCATTTTTCCATCGATAAGTTTTGCACTCGAATGCGCACTGCTAGCCTAGCACTCCTGCGATCGTCGCACAAACACTAATTGTGTGTGCTTCCAACGGTAGACAACGCAGACATGCGTAGTCCTGCGTAAACTTTCTTCTGATTCCACCATACTTTCATTATCACCTGCCTCTCTGTGTGAGTCACTTCCAATCAAACGAACATCTCTCCTCGTCCTGGCTTAAGGTATTTCATCTTCATTCGGACAATGCAATGGTGTGAATTACGAGATAAATCGATATATTGTTCATTTCTTGTCACATATTTTCTACATTTAA